CCCGCTTCCTACAACGGAACAATCAGCAGTAGTATACAGCATACGGTGCCAAAATTTCAGTGCAAGGTAAGTTCGTGAAATATGTAAACGCCTCTGCACAAGACTGCATGAACAACAACTCGCAGTCAATCGTAAGGACAGACTATTTCTGGTGTACGGCCACATGGAACGGGGACAGCATGGTTTCGCCCTCGAAAACGCCAAAGTCATTGGCGGACCCAATGACAAGTTGGCCAGATTGGTGCTTAGAAGCTGGTCCTCGGTGGGTACAATCAGCAAAAATATGGATTTTAATCCGGCCTACCAGGCCGTCCGTGCTAGACTACAGTAACCCAGACGAGGCCGACGCACCAACGAGCAATTTGCAGCCCCGCCGAGAGCTGTCACCAGAGCGGCAGAGCGACAGAGGGGCAGGGCTCTAAATACCGACATGAATCATCAACCTACGGGCGACCCCAGACAAGCAAACACGCTTTGCACGCGGGGCAACAGCAAATCCACCCACCCGATTATTAGATAGCTGCCATCCCAGTGTAGAGGAGGGGCATGCAGATTTAGCAGCGATCACAACGGCTACGCAGGCGACAGGGGTCACACCAGGTCATCGGCATTTCGCCACGGGGGGGGGGCTATTCGCAGAGAGGAGGAAAGTCAGAGACCGGGCGTCAGGCATGGCCACAATACGCTAGAGGCGGCGCGACATTACAGCTCTCGGCAAGCAGAAACGCACATCTCACCAGTCTGATGATGGAAAACATAATGTTTCCGAAACTTAAACTCTCAAATGGCCACGCCATTGACTTACTTATTATGCAGATTAGCCGCTGGCAGAAGACAAAACTGGGGCAGTGCCGAGGAAGTGTATTATGAGTAGTGCATGTCATAGTTATCCAACTCCAACAGTAAAAGATAAATAAACCGCTCGCAAGGCCACACCGTATAGAATATATATGCGAGAAAAACAACTGAGGATTGCGATGGCGGGGAAGGCACCTTCAAACCACACCAAAGAAGGACATGGATGGAGACAGTTCCAAGAAGAAAAAGAATACATTACAAAGATCTTGTCAATTGTATGAATCGCCCAGACATCAAGGCTCATCATTATCGATTGCTTCTTCATCATCGTAGAAATCTGCTTCATCATCGTAGATTTCTGCTTCATCACTGTCGATTTCTGGTTCGGGTACAAAGGGCTCTGGTTCTTCCTACAGACCAAAAAGGAATCTGCAGTCAGAAAAAAACAAATGCTCGAATAATATTGCATTCATTGCATTTATTTTTGATAGCCCTATACATCCAATTACATTGAATAGGATTCCTGTTAATGGAAGTGTGCTTTGCGCTCTTGAAAGAGCTCGTTTCTCATTCCTTCCCGAATTCAAGCGGCAGAGTGTCATAGCCGATGGCATCACATGTGTGACGGTAGGGATGTGTAGTGATGCAACTGTGGACGCATGTTGCCACACTAAAGGATAATGTGCAACAGTGAGCACGTGCGCGGCAGAAGTGGCCAATCCTGGTTGTCGTAATCAGTCAATCATCTTCAAGACACATGACTCCGCTAGTGGCGCTGAGAGGACTGCCCATAGTCTCCCAATTAGAATGCCGTTCTTTCGGTTGCGGAGTTGCCCTAGTTTAGCTGTCAACGTGTTCTATCCTCTGCCCCAATGGTCCTCTACCTTATTCCTCCCAACTGACGTCCCACGTTCTTTCTTCTCATCTGGAACCGGACCCGATGGTCGTAGGGTCTTCCCCAGGAACAATAAATGCTGGCAAAATGCGCTTGTAAGTTTTAAGAAAAGGCCAAAAACATCCTTGCAAAGAAAAAATGACAGAGAAGGCAAAATAGAAACCAGTGGTCAAGACTGCAACAGATGCGTCGCTTACCGCTGGCTCAGTCCTCACATTTGTCTCGACGGCCGGTGGTCGGTAATTTGTGTGCTTGTATGAAATTTCGACGGATACACCGTACCTTGTGTCTGGCTGCAATCCAGTAAGCGTGGATGATCCAGTTAAGTCTTCTGCCTGGATAATATTGATCTTTGGTCCCACTCTCACTATGTAGGAGGACGGCTTCAGACTCTTCTGCAGTGGGGGGCCCCAGGTGACTTTGACGGAGGTCGCATTGATGGCACTAGCTTTCAGGCCTGTTGCTATGTTGGTTCCTGGAGGAAGACAAAGTAGTAAAATAAAGCCTGCCTACTTGTACAAAATAAGTAGACAGTTATGTAAAAATGTAACCTTCTGCGAAGTTTGTTACAGTGGCCGATGCTGCTGCGCCGAACAGGAACTCGCTTTTATAATATTTGGGCTGCACACTGATTGTATAGGTCGTTTCCGGGTCAAGATCCTTGATTGCCTCTCTGTACTCCATTTTCCTACTTGCGCTCACAAATCTGCTTGGCCAACCATCGGAGATATTTAGTCGATAGCCTTGAACCGATTGAGAACCATACGGGGCAGTTTCCCAGACTGCTTCCATGTAATCCGAAGCATATACCTCCAGCCTCAAATTATTGGGTTTGTCGCCGCCTTAAATGGTAGAACACAACAATAAAAACATTTTTGACCATCAAAGTTAATGGATTTTACTGTGGGCATTCGCAGTATTTGCCAGAAGAAAGGGTCGCTATTGATAAATGGGTGGGCAGTTTATTTGAAGAAATAACTCGGAACTGTACACATAATCATTTGGGTTTTGCATACCATACGTTTGTCGTATACATTACCAGAAAGGAGAAGAGAGCCCGGAATGACCCTTTTCAGCTCAGTACCTGCCACCTCCCCCGCCCACTCAGGTTTTGCGCAGCTTTAAGCGCGAACACGCGGGGTCTTTTGATGAGAACTCTGACGCTCTGACCACTGCCCCACGTGCCCGTTGGCTTGCCGATTTAACTCGGGCATAATGCTTAGAAGGCGTGCAAGCTCATTTATTTATTAACTCTTCTTTTATAGCCTAGTTCGCCTAACCGCAGCAGTAAATTTGCTTTTTTAGTTACACATAATTGTAATCTAGCTTACCTTAAAATCTAGTTGGCTGTTACTTCATTACTCAGTTTAGACACAAATGTATCTGTTAGATTACGCAGTCCATAATTTTACTAAGCGTTGCTTAGTCCTCACAGCCTAGTCTAAGCTTGTAGCCTATTGCAGTCTCAGCAACATTGTTGTCCCCTAGTACCGTATGTGTAGCGCATTTAGGACGTACGGCTTAGTAATGAAGTTGTAGTACTATGATAAGAATTACTAATCTTTCATGACTAGTTGATTGTGGCGAAGTTTGCTTCCCAATAGCCAGATGATGCTCTGTAAATTCTGAACAAGGTTAGATACTGTAGAAAGTTAAGACACGGCTCGACAATCTATCATCCGGATTTCGCGTCCACATGTGTTCTAACAAGACACAACTAAAAGGTTGGGTAGGAGTACCTCGTGGGGCCGCCTAGGGATCGTGGGAAGCGTGCCCCTCAGACTCACGGGAACATGATTTTAGGGGGGAGGACGGGCGTGGCATGACGGCGGAACAAATTGTATCGCAATAATCCTATATAATAAAAAAAGTAACGGGAGTAAGTTGGGGCACGTTCAAAAACCTCGGGCGAGGATACTGAAATAGGCTTTAATATCATCACTAACCCCCCGCCAGACCAACGGTGCTAAACTCGGGTGGGGTCATAGAGGTACATTTTCTAGTAGTACCACTATCCGCAACTAGAATAAAAGCGAACGACTGAAGGATCGAGGATTGTGCAATTTACCCTACTTAAAATTTGTACGTAAGTGATTATGCACGTAGTTAACTTGAAAAGTCATTTTGCTTAATACACCGAATTAAGAGGTTATTTTATGCCGTGGCCTTTGGAGGACCCCTTTGTAGTTCAATGTCATCATCCAATCCCTACTGTGTCGACGGCCGGCGTTTAGCAAACCGAAAAATGTGGATAATTCAACTACTTACAAATTGTAAGTAGGTTGTTATAATACATAACTTCCCTTCGACGGCTCCACAATGAATCGTTAGCAAAGGTTGATAGCTGAGGTGCTTGACTGGCTATTGCACGCTAAACGCAGGGACCTAAATAGATTCATCTCGTTACCGTGGTTAACGTGAACCATGCATGCCCTGGCAAGTAATCCGTCTTCTCAACGGCGCATGTACCTGCCAGAGAGATTGTAAGTAAATTTCAGTAGCATGGTCTGGAAGCACGAAGACATCTACTAGATTAATTCTATTCCAAAACTTGGGAAATTTTGCAGATTTGCGCAAATGGTGAGCGTCAAGCGGTGAGACCGAGGTCAAATGTTTGTCTGGCCTAACTACCTACTACAGCATGCCCTCTGTGTACTATATCAACATACACACACACAAAGCATGCTCAACCCAAAGGAGAATAGTTACAGGGCTACCATTTAGTGGGCCGTCTCCTATTGAACTGGAATTGCTATATAATTTATTGCTATTAGTAAGTATGACATGTCCGATGAATGAAACCACCATATTTTTGGCTGTAAACACATTAGGGCCACCATCCACATTGACTGACACATGCGTTTA